AAAAAACTAAAAAAAATATAATAATGAAACATATCATATATACTACAAAGCTGTGAGAGTTCACAGCCATTAACATTGCAATCTTCTTATCCTATTGTTTGTTTGTTTGTTTGTTCATGTGAAGCAAATTAATTTTTCTTCACGGATATTATGTAATGAAGAGCTACCTTCCCCTAAAATATATTTGAACTCAATTTATATAAGCTAACAAAAAAAAAAAAAAAAAAAAAAAACCATAATGTGTCATATGAGTTAATTTTGACCAACTACAAATTCTTAATAAAAATACATATTTTTTCATTTGAACAAAAAAAATAAAAAAAAAAGGTTTTTTTAATGGCTCATTTGCACTGCAACCATTCTTCTATTCTTGTTAAGGAGTTCAAAAAAGAACTTTTCTTGAGAAAAACCAATTTCCACAACAATTTGAGCTTCAAAACAAAACAAAGTACTACAGCATTCAAGAAAAACAAAAGGCTTGAGGTGTGTTTGTGCAGTTTCTCTACATCTGCTGATCAACAGCAAGTGAATTCGGGTCAGAAAAGGCTCGACCCGAATGGCGGGGACCACGTAAGCGAAAAGCTTCGGTTCGGTTATTTGGTCAGCTACTTAAATTGGCAAGTGAGGAGAATGGCCGAGACAGAGGAGGAGACCAAACGAGTGGCTTTCATTCAAGCAGAAGCTTTCCACGAGCCGGTTTTTATGTTTAATGACATGTTCTTCGGTTTTTTTAAGGTACACAAATTCATTTAATCATTTTCCCTTCTTTCTTAGGTTATGTCAAGTGATTCTCTTACTATATATATAGGCTGAAGTTCTTTCAGGACTTATGTACAGGCTGAGGAACTCCCCTCCAGACAGGTAAATTTTTCGATATTTTGATTATGGACTCCTTGAATTTCTTTTGAATTTCAGTTATGCCTCAAAGTTTCATGCTGCTTGATAATGGAGAGTTTTGAGCTGAAAAAGATTGGATATGTTTTTACGCAGGTATGCGTGTTTAGTAGCAGAGCCCGAAAGCGATTATGAGGGTTCGAATGTGAAAGAACTCGTAGGAGTAGTCGACGTGACAGTTCAAAGGGAAGATTCTGTGCTTGAGCACCTCAAAGGAGTAGAAGAGTATCTTTATGTCTCTGGAATAGCTGTCCTAAACAAATTCAGGTCGAAAAAGTTTGTGTATATGTTTGGTAGAACTAGCTGATATCTTACAAGTAATTTTCGAGCATATGACATGTAGTTGAAAAACTAGCTTATATGATAAAAATGTTTGGTAAAATTAACTGATAAGTTGGCTGAAATAAAATTTCAACGAGCTTATTTGAAGAACTACCCAAATAAACTTATGAGATAAACTCGAACTATTCAAAAAAAGCTCGCCTACCAAACTTAGGTTATTTGAATACAAAAAGCTTATAAACTAACCAAATAAGCTATAAGTTAGCTTATTTACTTACCAAACATAGTCTTTTGTTGGTTCATTTCTTTTCGTTATTTTTTTTCTTTTTTTTTTTTTTTGATTTCGAAAGAATTGAATGGTTGCTGTTGTTGTTTGCAGGCGACAGAATGTGGCGACTGTATTGCTAAAAGCTTGTGATGAACTCTCTGCAATTTGGGGTTTCGAGTACCTTGCTCTCAGAGCTTATGAGGATGATTATGGTGCTCAGAAATTGTATTTGAATGCTGGTTATAGAGTCATTTCTAGAGATCCTTCGTGGACGAGTAGTTGGATTGGGCGAAGAAGGCGAGTTCTTATGGTTAAACGGTCTAATACACGGTGAATTTGAAATTTCTTCTCTTTTTACTCGACTTTAAAACTATGAAAACGTATGAGATAATGAGAATGTACATACATTGCATCCAAAAAAACGAATCCAAAAGATGTGTGTTTGAAAATCTAAACATAAATGAATATACTATTTGTTTGTTTGTACTTTTTACTTGTAGAAAACTATGCACGAATATCTTCAAAACAACGAGCAATACGTTAGTTTTTACGCAAAATGTTACTGTGTGGCGGCTTCATGATCAACGACTCGGAACTTTACCTAATATATCCATAGGGAATAAACTTCTTCACGAAAAAAAAAAAACTTCTGTACAGTCGAAAAATTGTTGAAGCTATTTTTTATAATAACCAAGATGACTTGAGAGGGGTAAAAATGTCATTCTGTCATGGCGCATCTTGAGTTGTTTTGTCGCATCCACTCGATGCATTCGTCTGCAGATCCAGAAGGATGCGCAAGCTGCCATTGGAGCAGTTTCTGTTGCTGTAAAATAAACAAGAAACACACACAAAATAAAAAAGACATAGTTTCGCATATCGAGTGTAGAAAGCTCGTGTTTTTATTGTGTTTGAACAAATAGGAAGTAAGTTTACCCATTCTTTCACGACAGGCCCTCCCGTTTTTAGCTCCAAGACACTCATGATGTCTTTACCGTTCACTAATGGCTTCAAGTCCCAGACTTTCTCCAGCCCTGTAAGAGAAATGAAAAAAAAGAAAAAAAAAAA